TGGCTGAGGCTCCGAGAGAGTGTTGGCCAGAGAGCAACTTCGCGTGTAAGCAGCTTCCATTCTAAGCCGATTCTGAGCGCGCGACTGTCTGTACAGTACTTCCAGTCAACAAGTCCTTCAGGAGGCGAAGAGGCACAAGGACCTTGCCTTGCGTTTCAACAGGCCAGTTGATTACGGCCGCGGCGCGCAGCCAGTTGTGCTACGCAGCAAGGAAGGGAAGCCAGCGCCTCAACTCGCTAGACTTCAGAAGTCGCAGGCTTCAGCGAGTTTGCAGGAGGATTTTTTTGTAAGGGCTTCGTTGCAGAGCTCCAGAACATGAACCTGAGACAGGTTTCTTGGAGGTGTGCAAAGTGCCTTTGGTTGGTGTGACTGACGCTGGACGCCAGAACCAAGATGATGGACAGCAGCGCACTGCGAACGATGTTGATGAAACTGGAATGGTCGATCGAGTACAATGACATAGTTTCACAAAACAGACAAGAAGACAGCAAAGTCGCCGATGTGGTGCATGACTTGCCAGGATGTGGAAGATGACCAAGTCGGCGCTTCCCGGTGGCTTGACCTGGCCATTTTGGCTCAGGCCACTATCCTCCACTGGACTTTTGTCATGGTGGGGACGTGGCGGTGGATGCCTTGCCGGGGCCTGGGATATGTTCCCCGCGGAGGGGGCGGGTTTGGCCATGGCGCGTGTTACGGAAGTGGAGGATTTCTTTGGGGTTCCGGATGCCCTGTGGATTGCCTTTTGTTTGGAAGTGGGCGATGGGCGACGACTTGAGGTTGCTGGCCGCTTTGCCGGCTCAGGTGGTGGCGGCCTCCTTGGATCAGGCAGCTCCATGGCCCATGGCGCGCACCCTTTGACTGCTGTCCAGGCGGCCCACTTGGGGTTGATGTGGAAGTTAGCAAAAAGGATCACTGCCTTAGCAACCATGCCGGTTATGCCCAAGACGAGCAACAGTGGGCCACCAGCCACCAACTCGAATGAAACGCATCAAGTTGATTTGACCGCTAGCTGGGGCAAGAGGAGACTTGGTGGAGCTCAAGGTGGCGAAGGAAAATCGGGAGAAACACACCAAGAAGCTCCAACGAGAAGTCACTGCTTTGAAAATGGCGCAAGACAAACTCGAAGCCTGGGTGAAACAGTGGGATGCAGTGGCAGACAGAACATGGGGCCACTACCACCTGTCATAGTGCCGAAGTCGGGCCTGACCCACGAGAACATCCGACAACCAGTGGCTTCTCCGGTCACGAGTTGGCATCATCGAACTTCAGTTTCGGATATGGCAAAGACAGAGTGACTTGCCAGAAATGCTTGAATCCAGGCCTTGCGCAATGAGGTGATGGCTAGCAAGGCTGGAGCTTGAAGATAGCAACCGGCAAGGTGACCGACCTGAAGGTGTGAAGACCCGACCAATGCCTGACAAAATATCGGAGGTTGTGCTTGACCTTGTCGCACAGGAAAAACCTCAGGGTTGATCCATAGTTTTAATATCCCCACCCTGTTACTGAGCTTTCGAGGGGGGGGACCTCAAAAATGTAACTTACATTTTTTGGGGGGGACCCTAAATGTAACAACCCCCCCAGGCAAGATTTCAGGGTCTCTGGAGGGGGGGAGGGGGCCTATAAAATGTAACTATGGACCTCCCAGGGCCTGTGTTACATTTTTGCCCCCCCCCCCCGATGCCTTTTTTTGGGGGTGGAAGAAATGTAACAAGATACCTCCAAGGTAGTCTCACAGGTGTATAGTTACATTTGTTCTCCCCCGCTTTTAGCTTCGTGGAGCTTGCATGTGTATGTAGAGCATTTGGCTCCACGATGGCACATGCCGTTGAGAAAGACAATACCGAATTGGACTAAACGAGATTTTCAAAGATAGAATAGACATGGTCAACTCATTATTTTGTTTGGCTCTGGCTGGCAGGGATAAGGCTTGGTGATGCTTGGGAGGTGAAACATTGGTGGATCAGGCAACAGACAAGCAGGTAAACATGCAAGTTTTCAAGCCCCGGACAAACAGTAAGTTACATTTATTATGGTCCTTTTGTGAAGTCTTTTTTCTTTTTGAGCTTGGGAGGTGTGAGGCAGGGGGTTTGTAGTGTGGTGGGCCAAAGGATGCTGGAAGCAAACCCTCCAGTGGCGCACAGTCCAGGGAACCATATGTGATAATGGAGTATTTCATGCCTACCCGGAACTCACTTACATTTTTTCTTGTCCTGTTTGTACTTCCACAGTAGGAATTGGACCAGCTGTGGCCGGCAGGGAGAACGCTGGGCAGTGGTTGGGTGATAAAAAAATGTAACTAAGTGCGCCCCAGGCAACAGACAAGCAGGTAAACATGCAAGTCTTCAAGCCCTGGACAAACAGTAAGTTACACTTATTATGGTCCTTTTGTGAAGTTTTTTTTTTTTGGGCTTGGGAGGTGTGAGACAGGGGATGGCCAAGCATTTCTTGTAGTGTGGTGGGCCAATGACTGAGAGATGCTGAAAGAAGGATGCTGGAAGCAAACCCTCCCGTGGCACACAGGACAGGGAACCATATGTGATAATGGAGTATTTCATGCCTACCCAGAACTCACTTACATTTTTTCTTATCCTGTTTGTACTTCCACAGTAGAAATTGGACCAGCTGTGGCTGGCAGGGAGAACGCTGGGCAGTGGTTGGGTGATAAAAAATGTAACTAAGTGTGCCCCAGGCAACACACAAGCAGGTGGGCACTTGCGAAAAGCGCAGAGGGAAAAACTGCTACAGCATGCTGCAGTTTATGACCTTCAAGATGTAAGTTACAGTTGCAGGCAGACTGCCTGAAAATTGTAACTTAGATTTTTTGCAGATTGTTACATTTTCTGCCTGTGGATGCCAGGAAATTGTAACTTACATTTTCCAGGGTTTTCTGAGAAAGTGTAACTTACATTTTCCAGGCACCCTCGAACAGGAAAATGTAAGTTACATTTTTTCAGGTCCCCCCCTGCATACTGGGTAGGGATGTTTTAATGCAGGATCATGTGTAAACACGTGGGCGGTACACTACAGTCCATCCGCTATTTACAACTTACCGGCCACAAATCAAATACTTTCACAGAACGGAAGTTCCCGTACTTTTTAAAAGTCAGTCTTTCAATCTTTTGGCCTTTGGTTTGCGGGTGTTTCTCCTATTCAAGCCTTTCTCGTTTGAGCCACTTGCAGACTGCAGTTGTTGTTCCTTTGAACAAATCGGTTGTTTTGTGCAACACAAGCATACGCATCTTGCAGTCACGGAGCTTGGCCATCAAACATAATTTTTGTGTGGCAGCATCGGGGTTGCAGGAAGAGTTTCAACATCTCCTGAAGGCTTTCCCCTTAGCTACACAAAAGCTCTTCCCATTGATGGGTACGAACCGCGCGTTGCACGTTTCTCCAGGTCCTTCCGCCCCTTCACGTGCTTCGCCGCCAGCTTCGTCCCCTTCAGGAACGCTTGCTGAGAGCTTTCTATGATCACTCACATGATCAGGGTCATTCGGATGTTGAGTCATCGAAGGTGAAACAGCTTTGGGATTTGGTAGCCTGTCTTGGGGAAAAGTCGCAGGCCTGGATGTAGCCAACATTTTGGTTTAGTTGTTTAGCTTGCTGCACAACCCGGAATTCCCAGCTGGGGGCTATGGCCTGGATGTAGCTTCTCGCCAAGCTGTCGTGAAAATCTCAGACTTGGAGTGGAACCTTTTTCTGATGCAAACTCGTCGCAGCACGGCCGTCCCAACCGAGGGTGGACTGCATGGTTCTGGGGCCTTCACTCAGGCGCTGATGCCAAACACCAAAAACAACAGAACGGCTCTCCAGACAAAATGAGTGATTGAAGGCCGTGCGCACCACCAGGGCCGATGTCACTTTCAAGGACCGCGACAGGAATCGAAGGGACACGTGTATGGGGGGAGCATGAGTTTTCAGTTCCCCCCACTATGTCCTTGCCTTTTCTTTGGAGCGTGGCGGGACTCACACAAATGTGAAAGAGACTCCAATGCCTCGACTCCGGGTCTCCAGGAACCCCTTTTCCGTCACCGAGAGAAGGTTCTTGAGCACCGTGCGCAATCGCCACGACGTTGGAGATAGGCACGAGATGCTTCATGCTTTTGCAACTGCTTACAGTTATTTTTTGTGGATACACCAGGGACTGTAGAGTGACTGGATGTCACAGTTGAATACATTTAAGAGAGATGTTTCCTGAAGGCTGCTTGGTGGAAGGTTTTCAATTCACTTGGCAACCAACAAAGTGTGAGTGTGCTGCTCGCCCATGCATTTCAGATTTCACATCACCCGTAACGGGGCCGTCCTACTTTTGGTGCAAGAAGCTGGGCATTGACCCCCCAAGGAACACACACATGTGCAAAAAACATGTTGCTTCTTGCATTTTTTGACTTGTACATACCATCTAGATGGCCTCGGAGGCATTCCAAAGGAATTGCTGTCGAGCAGGCTGAGACTGCCAAGATAGAAGAAAGCACAACCGATGCAGCAAGAGCATTCAGTGCCCCCAAAATAATATACTAGTATGCTCCGCTGTAAAGGGTGGGTTGGTGTTGTGTCAGTCACCCTGAATTGAAAGTGGGCAAGAAAGCGAGAAAGAAAGGTAGCATCTAGAGCCACGCGATCTTCCATAATCAAGATTTTGCCAGCTTCTCGGTGCTCACCTGCCATGCAGCGCTCTGACATTGATCCCACCTTGTTTGCTCACGTTCTGTGCCTTTGAGATTCTGCGCATGATCATCCAGCATTGGCAGAATTGGCTCGAACGCATATTTTTTGACCCTGGTTCCTCACATTGTTGCAGTCTATACCTGCAAAATGCTTCGCGGCTGCAATGCCTTGAGATCTTCTGGGTCATTCCACACTGCTCTATTTGACAGAAGATGCGACCGGAGAGCACGTTTCGCCCTTTTGCTCGCGTCAGGTCCTACAAAGGCTTTGATGCCACACCCCAAGCGCAGGGCCTCTATGACCCTCGATACGAAAAGGACAGCTGCGGTGTTGGAATGGTCGCAGACCTCACAGGCGTGATTTTTGAGAGACGGATGGGCGGTGCGCTTGCTGCGCTGACACTGACATCCCCATTTTGGGTGCTAAAGCGATCTTGTGGAACTGGCGCATTTTTGTTTGGTTTTCTGATTTATGAGATTTCTCTTTGCCATAGCGACAAGATGTCCTGGCGTACTAGTAGATAGTGCTTGCCGTTGCCCATATTTTCAAGTCATTCTGCCGCCAGGCAAACCAGCACGAGACATCGTTGATGGCGCACTGCAGGTGGGGCTTGCCATTTTCATTTCTAGAATGGTTGAAGCATTGGTAAAGTGGAGGCGCACCGCGGAAACCCACCCAGTTGTTCCGGAAAAAGAACGCCCAGACAGAGAGAGAGAGAGAGAAAGCACGAAGACCACAACTACGAGAAAGTACGAGTGTTCCGAAAGGTGCTTCTAATAGCTTCTTTGTTCCTAGTAGCGATGCACTTGTTACTAGAACTCTTCTTGCTCTCGCTGCGAGGTGCTTGAAAACTTGGATCATCGAGGCGCCCGGGGCTGCGAGAAGGACCGGGAGTGAGTTCCTAGACACCCCACCGCGGACGAGTGAGAGACGGATGTTCTCATGGGGTGAAGAACATGCTGTTTGTAGCGGAAAACAGTCTTCCACAGGGCCATTTTCCACAGAAACATGTTTGTCTTTGGGAGTGTCGGGGTCATCTCTTTTGCCCCAGGACACAGGAGATGGTGCAGGTATTCTCTGTGGGATTCCCGACAAGTTTATGCGGCGTGTAGCATCGGAGTTGTCAGTGGAGCTGCCTCCTCCGCGCCAGCGCTTTGGCTGCATCCACGGCATTTCATGCGCGTCATTTCGTGCACACACTTTTCTGCTTGTTCACTCGTATGGACCACAACATGCAGCTTTTTACATGCCAGTGAATGTGATTCTTGAGGTACGCAGTGGGGAATGTGTTCTTGGACCAAGGTCAGGATGCAAGGGAGGAGTCGAGTTTAAGACACCTAGTGGTCGATTTGCAAGCTCATCTAAAGTATACTACGACAACCCGAAGTAAGAGCACCTTTAGAATCTTCCATGATTTTGTGCAAGACAAGTGCATTGGTATACTTGCATACAGTACAATAGAGGAGCAGTCGTGGATTGTGTTTCGCTGATCGTTGCTTTGTATGCCATGTTGCAGCATTTTTGCAGCATTGTTTGCCTTGTTCAAACGAAGGGAACGATTCCATTACGGAGACTGACAGTTGTTCAGGTGAAGAGGGCACCAAAGAAGGAAAGCGTATTTTTGAACAGATTCTTTCCTGCAAGTATTTTGTTGCTTTGCTTTGCACTTAGAGAGGCCCGTGGATCTCTCAAGCAAGCAAACAACGCTTTTTGGGTTGGAATGACCAGAAGAGAAGGCTGAGAAATATTTGTTGGAGCTCTCTGACACAGCCCACTCAATCCAAATTCTATCACAAATTCTATACAGAAAAGGGTACCGGGTGAAGAAGAACGATCGCGGGATGGATTTGGTCCATTATGAGAGTTTGAAGTTTCCTGGACTTTCGCTTGAGGCATTTGTTTGAGGCCATCGCTATTAGGTTGGAGGGTCAGGTTGGAGGCCATTGCTTGTAGGTTGGAGGCCTTTTGCTATTAGGTTCCTTTTGCTACTTTCGTTTGGCCATTGGCCTTTAACCTCAAAGCCGCTGAGGGTCTTGGGGTCGATTCCTGGACTTCGTTTGCTCTTGTGGCGGCGAGTACCTGTGGATTCGGAGTGTCTGGGGAAGACGGTGGCCGGGCTGCAGACGGATGTACCGGGCGTTGCTTGGGGTGATGGCCTAAGAGATGGGGGATCGCTCTCAGCCATGAATGGCTAAGGCCAAAGATCATGAGCCAACAATAGAGCAGGTCTTCATTGCAGCAGAAGGCACCTTGGCTTTGAGATTTTTGATTGGACTGTGATATACCATACCTTTGAGAGCTCCAAATTGCTTCAGATCTGTGAGTGCAAAATTGAAGAAAAGGTCCTTTCTTGTGCAAAAAGGTTGTTGCCGACACTTGCTTACACTTACATGTTTAGACAACATGTAGAAAAGCACAAATGCACAATGATATTATTGTAAGGATCTAAGTGTAACAAGCTTCGAGTCATTTGTTGGTGTACTTGGACCTTCTATTCTATCATCAGTCATAAAATTTGGTTGTTTTTGTTCCACTTTTGATCCTGGAGGGCCATTGATTTTTGATTCTAGCTGCTTCGCAGCTACTGGTAAGCCTAAATAGTCAAGTTAAGAGTTTGTCTACGTCTAAGACGGGGAACACCTCAAAGAGCCCTGGTCAAGAGGAAAGTAAGAACCAGTGGTTGTGGGGTTTGTTTCTTGAATTCCGCTCGAGGCCAACTGAAGACCGATTTGAAGCGCTTCGAAGCAGCCTTGTTTGTGCTGCGAAAGCGTTCAGCAAACCTTGCAGCGCAGCAGCCAGGGCTGCCATTCTATGCAGCTGGGCTGAATTTGTAATCCATCAACCAATGTGTTTTATCAGGAGGGCTTTTGGATTCCATGGAGGTCACAAATCGAGATATTTAAAGGTTACACGTAAATGATGGCTTTCCTGGTGAGGAATAGAAGTGATGAAAACAGTTGAGTTAAGTTTCCACAAAACATCTAGGAACCATATCATTAGTGCTTCTTCAAGGAAGCTCCATGCCGCCCTCAGGCGGGGGGAGCTTCCTTGAAGAAGCGTGAGCTATCCTGCGTCCTAGCTAGGAGGCGCAGACTTATATAATTAAGTAGGAGTGGGCTATAAAGACAAGGCTTTCCTATTGGGGAACAGGTCTCGCTTGGATGCGAAAGCAAGGTGTGCTCCCTATCTCCTCGAGTGTTGAACTACAAGGGAATGCTGACGTGCCCAGGAGCGACGTTTGTGCCTCCTTATTGACTTCATAGAAAAAAGTAGCAGTGTACCATCAGGTCTCTATCTTTTTGAGCCATGTCAAGTTTTAAGCGCTTTCAGCCCTGCAGGTTTAGTGCGCTACTTTCTGGATTTGCAGGAAGATGATTTTGAGTCTCATGTTGCGCTACTTGCTCGAACTCTTTAGCATTTGCGATATATTTGGTGTTTTTGTGGAGAACGCTACCAGGAACAAGTGCATCGCTACTAGTAACAAGTGCCTTACTACTAGTAACAAGAAGCTAGTAGTAACAATAAAGATTCAAATACTCCTGTTTAAGTTTAATTGGAGTAGGAACAAGGACGCTCCACGGTTCCTCCGAACTGGATGTGCGTCCCAAGGTTGGTGCATAGTCGCTTCTCGACCAACACTTTTCCAGCTTGGCGACGAGCGCATCCCTTCCGGCATATTTGTCACAATGGTGAAATCAACACGCTGAAAGGCGTGAACTGAAGCATCGGTGTGCGATGTTCACTGCAAAGCAGGTTAGATGGCAGAACGTTATACGGGTCAAAAAATGGTCAAGCTACTTTGTCTGAGTGGGTTCGGACCTTTTCCTCTGAATTTCATGAAGGGTCCACAACGCCGTACCCAATCCGGGTTGGGCGCCCAGCCCGAAAAAAGCTCGGCCGACGCAGTGGTTCGTGGTGGCTTTTTGGCAGGAAACGTCAACTTTGCGCGAGCCCGAGAAGGTCTGATGAGCTCTGAACTCTTGGGAGCTGAGCTGGAACAGTGCTTTCCATTGATGGAGATGGACGGAACCTCAGGGGAGTGCATCCCACGGAGATCATAATCGTAGCAATGATCCGTGCGGAATGGTGATCCGTGCCAACTAAGGATCAGACCGACAGTGGCATTTTTGACAACTTCCTGGAGGTCCTTGCGATCTCAGGTGTGGGGCAGTATGCAACACATTGGCCTGTGAGGAAGATTGTGTTTGCCCATGTTTGCCCATTGGTTTGAAGATTTGATGGTTCAACCCTTCCACCCAAGGGGCCCAGCCATTTCACCGCCTGGGCAGGGCGTAGCATGCCTGAAGCGGTTGCAATGATGATGCCTCCAGCATGGGCCACTTGCAGCTTATGTTCGCGCAATTCATGCAGACCGCAGTTTTAGAGAAACGATAGTCTCATTCACTAGTTCTTCATTTCTCTTGATTAGCTCGCCAGTTCCTTTTCCTTGTGTTTTCTTCAGTAGTGTTCTGCTGGTGCTAGAGTGCTCCGCAAACGTCTAGGAGAATGCAGAAGAGTCCATGGATCCAAAGATCCGTGACTACTACAAGTTTCAAGCTGCGCTTCTGGAGCCTTGGGACGGACCAGCCCTGGTCTGTTTCACCGATGGCGATGGCGTAGGAGCTGTGTGCGGGGTTTCCAGATAGTCATGAAAGTCATGGAGCGTTTTTTTTTTTCCATGAGATCTCTCCTACAACCTGTTGCTTTAACACAATTTCACACTTTCTTATCAAAAAGAACCTGCTAGTAACAAGAAGCTATTAGGGTGGTGGAGGCCATCGCTATTAGGTTGGAGGCCATCGCTACTAGTAACAAGAAGCTACTAGTAGCTTCTTATTTTTGACTTGTGCTTTCTTGTCTCGAGGAGCTTCGCTCGATCGGAACGGGCTTCGTCCATGCCGATATTACGCAGCTCGGTGACATTGGTGGACAACAGGATGGTGACTTACCAAAAACACAGGAGTGTTGATGATGGTGATCCAGCTTCATTAACATCAGAACATTTGAGCAGTGATCGACCATGTAGCACCCGACATATCCCTGGTTGCCTAGTTTGCATGAATTCGTTGATTTGGTTTTTGCTTACAGCAGACCAAGCAGAACAGGGGACATCCGTGACATGCGTGACATGTCGAAGGTGACGAACGAGAAGAGGATGATTATCTCCTCAGAATGTGGAGTTCTCAAGCTTCCAGCCGAATCCATCGTTGAGAAGGGACGTTTGTCTCCCGGTGCTGTGTCCTGATCAGTGGGCGAATCGGTGTGGGTGTCGTGGTTTTCTGTCAAGTTCTGCTCACAAGTATCAATAGTTACATAGCTCAATGCATTTGATTTGGGAGGTGGGTTTGGAGTGAGCATGCGTCAGAAATACGCAATCACGCGAGATGGGTTTGGAGGTTGCTGACCTCCAAGCATGGGGAGAGGGATTCTTTACTCTGCAGATTTGCGCTGCTGAGGCCACCTTTAGATTTGTAGGCTGAAGATAAGACAGCCCCGACCGAGTCCCCATCCATCAAACTCTGGTGGACTCTTGTCAGAAGGTTCGGCACTTAGGATTATCGCACCTCAAACATGAGCTTAAATGAGCTTCGTGAGCCATGAGAAAGGTTGAGGTATTGAGCTGCTGAGTAAAGCCACACATTTGGCAGGTAAGATGCTGTGGGCTGACTTTGCCAAGGGCACATTGACCAAGGACCGGTTTCCTGAACCATCATGGGAACCCTTAGTCCTTTCCACCCAAACTCAATCTGATGTGACGCTCTCCAGGACTCAGAGCTGAAACAGTCCTTCGCTGCGCCCTCGCCCTGGGGCGACTGGCTCAAAAACGAGTCCATTACAATGAAAACTCTGTGCCTTGGGCCATGCCTGGGGTATTTTTTGGGAAAGGAGTGTGAAAGCAAGACTGGCTGGAATATAGATGGTCAGGTCAAGACATGTACATGCGCTTGACACTTCTCGGAGGTTGAGCTCATGGAATGTCAGATCAAAGTCTGAGAGGGAACAGAGGGTTTTGACTTTTGCAACGTAATGGCTGGCCCAGTGTTGAACGGATTGACCTAATCATACCTAACCCAAAGGCAGGCTTGAGCATCTCCAGGCGGAATTTGCCATGAGAGCACCCGATTGAGACTCTTTGAACTTCTTTTTGACCCTTGAAAACTTGTCCTGAGGCTGGCTGCTAAGAAGCCAGCAACCAACATCACCGACGACCTGCGAGCGCCCTTGCTGCGGAGCTTTGGATACACCCAGGACACGTCATGATGTTGGGAGCTTCCAGAAGCCGCCACGGAGCTTCCAGGTTTTGGTCGCGTGGTTAGTGTAGGAAGTAAGCAGAAACGAAGCAGAACAGCTCAGGATGCCCAGCCGATGGTGCAAAGAGTGTTAGGAATGGCCGCCAGCATTGGGGTTGCCCTCAATCAACTGAATTGTTGCAGAACTGTGCGACAGGAGTCACTTGAGCTTCTGCTACTTCCAATGGGCCGGGATGCTTTGACGAACATATTTGCGTGTTGCTTCATTGAGAGAAGAGATAATGTACAGGGAACAGAGCCTGCCGAGTATGTGTAGCCTTTGCAGGTTGGAATGCAGATAATAGCCTTCACACCAAACCAAGGATGGAGAAGAAGCCCTTGGTAGCATGGGCAATGACACCCCATTGGCATGCCTCTCTGAGCAGAATCGACCAGTCTTCGACTTCTTCTACCAGCTTTTTGCGCAGGTGTGAGATCAACATCCTCATTTATGCTTCAAGAGGAAGCTTGTTAGGAAACTGCTTGGTAGTGGTTAATATTGCAGTTTAGGTTCGGGCTCTGGGATTTACCTTCAATGTTCATCAAAGGGACTTTGGGTGGTTCCAGTGCCGCGAACAGCCGGCAAGCTTTTACCATAGTCTCTGGTAAGCAAGGCATCAGTAGCATGAGCCAAGTGACCCCAATGGATGCTTTTCCTCATATTGTTCTGGTAGAAGGGTCCAAGAATTGTGTTGGGAAGATGTCAGTTCAGTTTTCACAACTTCGAAGAGGACACTGTTGGAGCTTGTCCTTTGTCGGCCATATCGGGTCATTGTCCGCTTGTCACTTAACTCGATTCTCGCAGTACATTTCGCACTTCCCCTCTTTGGAGCACGTTGCTTTTATTCTCGGAATAGGTTTAGCTGCATTTGTTAAGTTGTCAAATATTATACACCCTTTCTGTACTAGGACTAGGAGCTGCGCATGTGCTTGGTTTTAGACTCAAAGTCCTTGCTTTGTGCATTTCCTTGAAACAAGAAGCGCTGTTGAATGCACTCTGCCACATCTCCAACCTTGGCAGGTGACCAACCCACCCATTGACCCTATCAGAGAGGCGGTGGTGATGAGCCTAGGCCGGCGGCTGATGATTCCATTGCCCTCCTTTTGTTGCGTTTCGGAACGTTGGCCCAATGGCAGGTTGCTGGGTGGGTCCTGAGACGAATGTCCTGGCCAATCCAAGCCCCCGCCATTGCCAGCGGCTTTGGCTCGACCACCCATGCTTGCTACCAGCCCTTTGGCCGATCATCATCAAAGGCACTTGTGAGTCAGCAAGACCAGACTGCCAGAACAGAGAGAGCCTCGATTGCGTGTGTTCTTTTGGTGGGTTACGTAGGCCTGATTGAAGGTAGGTCATTCTTCACCCACCCAGGTCCCAGGTGTTCAATGCACTTTTGTTTTGTCCTTACTTCAACTGGGTCAACGTGGGCTTGTCCTAGAATGAGGACACTGCCCTTCAAGACGAGACCCTCAGGCCAGAGGCCTCGAATTTGGGAACCTGGCACCCTGTGCTTCCGCCTTTAGGCTGAGATGGCTGCGCTGCCGATGACGAAGGATTTGAAGGGTTGGGAGATGCGAACTGTGGATAGCACCTTCCCCATGGCCGAAGGCGTGTTTGCGAGAAGTGTAGAGCGGTGGGTGGACTCGCACCATCATCGGTGTCGAGGGTGCCTGAACATGTTTGGTGCTGAGATTTTGGTCAATTTTAGAATTATATGCCCTTGTCGGTCGGTGCTATTTGGGTGCAGTGGAGTTTCCATTTTGGAGCAGTTTGTTTTTACATTTGTCACGAAGGGCCGTAGATAGAAGGCTTTGGGTCAGCTGGGTAGGAGGGCCTCTGTATCAAATTAAGACGTTCAATGTGGGTTTTCCTAATTGTTCTTGTTGCAAGGGGTCTTGTGGGGCTCTCCTCTTCAGACACCACTTATATAACGTGGAACAGCAGGTGCCGCTGGCATGGAGCGGCACTTGGTGCGCGTGGCCAACGAGGCTGTTTGGGCGGCCAAGTGCCTTTGCCTCAAACAGTCACAGTTCCGGAGCAAACCCTGGAAGATTGCCCCTACAAACAGGTGGTTTTTCCACTTCAATTACAATACCTGGGAGTGTAGTTTTCGTTGAATGCCTGTGGGGGATTGTCGGCGGTCGACAGTTGTCGATGGCGTTTTCAAGTCTGCGGTCCCCGACGCAAGTTTCGATCATTGTCCTTTGTTTTTAAGTTTGCTTCTTGCTCCTAGTAGTAATGGCCTTCACCCTAGTAGCGACGGCCTCCACCTGGCAGCTTCTTGCTCCTAATTGACTGAAAGAGGTATGCTGTTGGGATTTGGCAAGTGTTGGTTTATTTGAGATTTGACGGCTGCCGATGAAGCCGAGGAATGGCTACCAGATCATCGTCCTCTCTGACAGGAGATCCATGTTGTTTCTGTGAATGTTACTTCTTGGTTTCGAGCGATTGCTGGCTTTCCTGGCTACCTGACCAATGGACCCCGCAAACCCACACAGATGAGCCCACAAGATGAACCCTAACAACAAGCATGGGCAGGTCAAGACAGTCGCTCAAAGAGAACGGAAGAATCATTTGTGGACCATGTAGCTATTTGTTCAAAGTGTTGTTATTGTGTAGACGGTTGGGTGCTTTACTACTAGGAACAAGAAGCTACTAGGGGCTCCTGGCCTTACTATTAGGAGCAAGGGCGCTACTAGGGGCTCTTGGCCTTACTACTAGGAACAAGAAGCTACTAGGGGCTCCTGGCCTTTCTACTAGGAACAAGAAGCTACAAGGGGCTCCTGACCTTACTATTAGGAGCAAGGACGCTACTAGGGGCTCTTGGCCTTACTACTAGGAACAAGAAGCTACTAGGGGCTCCTGGCCTTTCTACTCACGGGACTTGCGGTCGCTGTCTGGCGCGCGCTTCCTACGGTCCTTCTCCGTATTGGAGGGTACCGAGGAGTGTGGTACATATCTTCTTGTAAGACGAGGTGAAAAGGATGGAACTATACAGATGCTACGAAAAACCAAGTATGAATTGTGAAAGGACGAATATGCAAGCACCTAATTGGGTGCGGGTGGCACCGTGACACCATCGAGATCACCTCCTTTATGCCACGTTTCACGAAGCTTCCGACGATACAAGAAGCGCTGGCGAAATGGAAGGGGGATAGCCGGTGGGGCTGCAAAGGTGGGTAACACATGTCGCATTGGTATCAAGCCATCTGGATGGAAGGGTGGTTTACACTTGAGGTCTTCGACATATCGTGAAAGGGTACGTTGGACAAGATCGGAGTTTGGGAACTCAGGCCGCAGGGGCATACCCCCGGTATATGATTTGCCCCAACCAATTTGCGTGAGACTGATGGAGCCAGTCTTGGTAAATTTCGGCAGAAGAGGTGTGTCCGAATATCCCTGGAGATAGAGGACAATAGTACGAAAAGCCTCGGCTTGCTCCCGGAGGGACCTCTTAATGGTGGGTAGGGCTAGGACCCGTGGGTCTTGCCAATGAACTGGTTGGGCACGGTCTTCGTTATCAAGATGTATCCAGGTAGGAAATTGGAGTCCGGTATTGATAACGAAAGCAATAGTAAGTTCAAGCCATGTAATGCCTGCAGTCACAACTGAATCAGAGTGGTTTAACGTAGGATCCGGCCATCGTAGGGCGGCACAAAACTGAAGAACTAAGTCCGCATATTGGTTGCCCCATACGCAAGCAGTAACAAACGCTGGATGGACATATGGGTGAAAAATTTGGACTGAAGTGTGAACTGTGTAGACTGCTCTGGATCGATATAAGGTACCCCAATCAATAGATGCGTCATGTGACGTGTCTACACGAGCTGTATGGGTCTGTTTTTGCCTGGCTTGAGAATGTGACAAATTAAGGTCCGCAAGATAGGAAAGGATACACTTAGTTTGACGAAATTGATCCTGATGCCAGATTTCTGCTTGTCGGAAAAGGGCATCAACACGGGCGTGGTCGGTCTGACGGGCTCGAACGGCAGCCTGATCTGCCCACTCATTTCCAAGGACATCGTTCCGTTCCGGACCAGGGGGTACGTCATTAGGATCTTGATGGGAACGAACTTTTCGCAGGGTAAAACGCAACGGATCCCAACATGCAGCGAGGATTTGAAGAAGGTCGGCATTCGCAAGCTTATGCCAGGATGGTGGTCGGACTGCTTGGGAGACATGTGTGATAGCATTAATGGCATATTGGGAATCAGTAGTAATGGTAAGCCGGTGTGGCCAGTGTTGCTGCTTGGCGTGTTGCACAATCCAAGTGATGGCAGCAAGTTCAGCTCTGGCAATAGTCTGTGGGCCCTGTACATGTTGAATTTTGATGGTGAGATAAGATTGGTTGAATGTCTCGGGACAGAATTGAATAAGTGACCAGGCCGCACGGCGTGTCCCTGGATGTATGGGTGTATCCGCTGACCCATCTGTATAGAAGTAAAGGGTATCACCGCCAAGATGGATTGGGGTATGTTCGGTATCTTGCCCTCGGAAACCCAGGAGTTGACGGAGGATGGCAAAATCAGGGAAAGAATGTGGAAGTGGAAACCATAACTTCTGTGGATTGTGAGTGAGGTAGGCAATTGCTTGTGGGTGGCGTTGCCGAACAGCCGAACAGCCATAAAGGTTGGACAGTCAAGTTGTTGGTGTGCATGTGTATCTGGCTCTCCGCAATGTGGACATTGGGTATCGACTGTGGATGTCCATTGGGCTTTAACTGCTCCTACTTGGTATCCACCGGTAAGGTTATACGCAATTTGACGAATGGCGGTGGATGACATAGATCGTAAGACTCGAGACAAGACAGTGTAGTCGAATGGTACAGAGGGGACCCCTTTACGATGGCAAATTTGCCGATTGAGATAATATGCCCACGAGTGACGGAGTGTGCATCGAATATGGCGCAGGGAGTCATGCTGTAAGGATATAGATAAATATCCATCAAGTGTGAGAGTCCCATCAGTGGTTAGAGACCAGCCGACAAGTTGTAGGTACCTAGCGAGGGCGCCGGCCGGTCCGATTGGATTTCCCTGATGGGCGATGACCGAATTAACAAAATCTTGCGCCTGAGGCGGATTTGTATGATAGAGCCGACGCACAAAGGACAAACCTGTGGCAATTACATAAAGAAGGGGATCCTGTAATTGAGAACTGAACAGGTGTACGGCGAGCCAGCTTGATATCTGTGTTTCCGGACCTACCAAAGCAGTAGTGGCCTCGCGGCGAAGTGTTCGAAAATGCTTGTCACCAACGATTTGATTTTCAGCTCCGAAGAAAGCGTGCGGCCAAATGGCCGTCTGTATAAATTGTGCTTTATGAGCAATGGTAGTCTGAAACCATCGCAGCCTCCGGCATCGTTGCACAGCGCTGTTGATCTTGGTCTTTAAGTGTCCCAGGGTAATATGACGTGTATAATGTGTCATACATCCCAGGTCTTTGCTCGAGTTGAGGACACTGATCTGGTTGTGATCGGCAAATTCGTCTGCAAGAAAATCTTTCCAATCTGTACGCGCTTCTTTAGTTGCCCCCCAGGCCCATGACTTGGCGAAATCTATCTTCATGCGTAAAGCTTCAACCAAGTGCTGAATTCGATAGAAAGCTTGAATATTATCTCGCTGCGTGGTCGTGAGGTAGGACCAGTTGTCTGCATAAGCATATGGGAAAACTGTAGGGGACTGAAGGGTCCAATAAAATGCTGAAGAGACCACTAACATAGCACAGACAGAAAGGCTATCGCCTTCTGGGACACCTGTAGTCATAGTGATGGTTGGGCCAACTTGTTGCCGAATCTGAAGTCGGCGGGTCATGTGGCTAAGATTAGTGAACCAAAAATGGATCGCAGCTGCCGGGGCCCCATGATGAATTAGTAAGTGGTACAACACTCTGCGAGGCAAGAGGTTAAATGCTTTAATGAGATCCAACGTAAAGCCGCGCCATGGCAAGGATCGATTCTTTGCATTTTCAATCTGATATTGTTGCATAAATGTAATGTCTTGGACACTGCGGAAGGGTAAGCCGCCGGAAATGGCACTTGGCCAGGTATATGTCCATTGGTTTAGGAGTTGATCTGCAATGAGTTTAGAGGTGAGGCGGCTGATATATCCCAAAATGGTAATGGGACGGCCGTCGGAGATTGATGTGGGTGGCACACGCTTGGCTAAAAGAATGACACGGGCAATTAACTGATGTGGTGCGAGACCCTGAGGCCATATGGACGCGAGAATAGTGGCAAAATCTTGAATGGCGGCTTGAGGTAATGTCTGGAGCTCTTCAGCTCTCCAGCCGTCAATGCCGACTGCTTTAAAAGGTTTCAACTTTTGAATCGTCTGTGAGATGAGGTGAGGATCGCCCCACCGAACTGTAAGTGGTGCTGTTGGTGGGATACGGCTACGGAGCGACTGCAGAAGCTCAGACCAGGAGTCATCCATTTGTTCGTCCATTTGAGAGTCACGGTTCCAAAATTGTGACCAATAAGTCTGAAATGGTTCTGCCATGTCAGGCAGGTCGAATGCATATACTTCTTGGGTAAGATCGGCATACGTAGGGGCGGAACCTTCAAGAATCTGACAAGTGACGTGATGCTCCTGTTGGTCGAGAATACGAAGTAAGGCAGATCCAAATCGTGCTGCTGCAAATAAGCGAAAAGTGTTCGGTTGGTGAATAATCAAATGCAGTGGCCCCTTTTGTGTTCTGCACACAGTGGCAGGGGTACGAAGCTGGATGGGGAAACCAGGTAGTAACTTGACATCTTGGGCTTTAAGCCTTTTGTAATATTGGGAGCTCGACTTGTACTGTACATCAAGGTCAAGGCCATGTTTTTGGGACTGACGCTGTAGTTTGGCCTCTTGTTGGCTATAGAGGTCTGCGTCATATTGAGTAATCTGTCTTACGGTATAGAGGTAGTCGAAGGTGGGAAGCTCAACTGGCACAGCAGTAACGGCTTCGAACTGCAAGATCCATCGATCCCATGATCGACCGTAACCCTGGGCTTGACGGATTGCTTGCCATAAATGCGTCATATCCTGAAAGGGAAAAGAAGACCCCCCAAGAGGCAGAAACTGTTGCGTTAAATCATGCTTATGGTATAAGCGTTCCAGACACCGTAGACGTCGAACTTGACGAACCTTATGGCGACTTTTGAGTGAAGTGACTTCAGTGGGTGGTTCGTAAAGCCCCATGCTATCTCGTTTTGGTGATTTAGGACAAGGTGTACGAATCAAGCGAGGGGTCGCACAGCGTCCTCGGAAAAGCTTTGGCAGAAAACCCTGTGGGTTTTTGAGGGGGTCGATTCGTTTCTGCTGTCGTAGAGTACCATCGATGGCCTTCTCCACTTGGGAGGACCATTGGTATAAGGCGGCGGTAGGATCTGATAGTTGTGAGTTAGGAACAAACTGACGATGTCTTGAGTACTGAGTAGCAAA